TTCAGAGTTCCTCAACGTACGATTTCAACCACAAAAGTACAGCCTCTACGTCACTGAGAAGCGGTCCATAGTTGCCCTTCAGCACCCCTGCATTTCCCTTCTTTTCACTTCGAAGTCAGAGGATAGTTTGCCAGAATACCTTGTTTGCCGGCTGGAAATTCGACTCCAACACCTCATCGAACTTCTTTGAATAAGCTTTGGCTTTCACCACTGCTTCCGCTGCCGCTTTGCGCACTTCGACATATCGCACGCGAGTATAAGTACCTCTCGTGTCCACCATGAAGATCTTTTCTTACCTCCAGGCGGCAGGCCAACCCGTTTATATCCGCAGCATTCGGCGGCAGCCTCGGGTATCGCGCTCTTAAACAGCTGCCACTCGGTTTCAACATCAGTTGTCATCGCTGAGATCTGTTCAAACCGTCATGCAATGTTGTTTGCAAATTTCGCTCTCGTGTCCACCGAAGACAATGTTTATCATTTGATTCTCCGGTTGCTTCTGCCACCGGATCTTCGTATGGTACTCCATTTCTTACAACGCAGGGTCCCAACAACACGGTGATGATCGGTTGATGGCTCTGCGCCTCTTTTAACACGAACATCCATTACTGAGCGCCTTAAATCAGATGATACGATTATCAAATCGATCATCGACTTCAGTGCACAAGTACCAGGTGTACTGATGCACTTTTCGATGCTCGAAGAATGGACAATCTGCTGCTTGCACAAAACCGCACAACTTCATGCCGTTAATATTGAGGTGGCTAGGGCCATTCTTTCCAATCACGCCGTTCCTCTTTTAAGCGTCTACTCCAACGCGCGCACTAAAATCACCCATCAGTACGAGGGACTCTGCATTCGGCACTTCGGACAGAGCCACACTGCAATTCCTCAAGGAGTCGTATTTTCCATCCGAATTGGGCACACAGACACGTAACAACGTCTTTGAAATGGATTTTTAAGTCTTCCTTATTCGGACCAAAGATCATGTCACAATTTGCGACTGTCCGCTAGAAACATCGAAAGCATTGATCAGCCTACAGAAAAGTTGTGTAAATTCAAAATCATTCTTATTCTTTGTATTGGAACAAAGCACCATCTCTTTGGTATCTGCCGAACAGGTTTAAGACCAAGCCTCTTGAGCAGAACTAATATTGACGTAATAACAGAATGCTAACCTATATCGATGACACTAATGAAATATCAGTGAGATCATTTGTTCCTACAATGGTAATTATACTGAAAAAGCAGCAGGAAAAATTGTTTATTTATACACAACGCAAATCAGTGGTGCCTGGGGAGGTGCTTTTCGCTGTAAGCCCAAAAATGCCAAAAAAGTATTTTTTCATATTGAAGAAGCCCGTGAAATAAGACTCATAACGTTGACGTGATGGCACAGTGTGTAAAAGAGTTCAGCATATAAGCTGATTACACGCAAATAAACATCACCACTCTCACCAGTAAGTTCATAAAAACAAAGGTGCCAGAATTAACCCATGACATAAATCTAAAAGTAGACGGTATTTTCTGTGTAGTCTATTTTTCTATTGTTGTCATTGTATAATTCTGCTTGTTTCACTCTTGCCTGTTACTCTGCTCAGTATTACAAAGTAGCAGAAGATGACTAAAACATTTTAATAACAACGTAATCTGGCGTCATAAACAAAACAATAATTTATGCACTGAAAACAATGCGGAAGTCGAAGAGATTCAATAAAACAGCTAAAACAACTTCGCTTCTTGTTTATTAAACTTTACTTGAACTTAGAAGTCGACTTTGTTTTTCCTTTGAAGCGGTCAGTCAGCTGAACAAGATATGAAGAAACGGTCTCCAGAGACTTTGGTATATCGAACATCAGTTCCTCAGGATAGGGATTAATTTTGTTGATTTCTCGACGAATGTTCTGCAGCTGGTTTTCTAACGACTGTTTAACCGAAGTGAACAACGTGTTTATCGCCTCCGTACAAGGAAAAGGAGGCTGGGAACAAGTGGCGGCTACGTTCAGAGGTCGACGACAGTTACGACGAATTTCCGAGGCTACATCGATAAAACGATCCTGATGCACGTATATAGACAACTGTTTCAATGTGTCTGCCAGACGATGTTGGTTCTGCGATACATCGAACAGCAGGACGCACAGCAACACCAGCAGAAGGTCAGTGCGGATGCTGGCCATCAATCGCCACAAGTCCTTAACGGTCCACCTTCTATCATGGTCATTCAGAACCACTTCTAGCCGGTCGCCTTCTTTCAGCCGGCTAACGTCCTCCGTCGTGCAGAGCAAAATATCCGGCAATTTAACGACTTTTCTGACGGCCGATCGTCGAACTTTGAAACGAAAGCAAATCCTGCCAATGAAGGACTCGAAACTGAGGGAGGCTGGTGTTAAGATTTGGATGAAATCCTTTTCCGAAGGATCGCGTAAACGAACGTAGATTAAGACGCCGCCGCCGTACCGACGATCAGGCACTTCATTGACACTCGATGCATTCATGACAACCACCGAAGCAGCCAGTGAGCTACTGGACTCATCGACCTCCTCCAACAACGCGTGTTGCGGCTCACAGGCACAAGATGAATTCGGCAACATGATCTGGTCACCACGGCGTTCGACCTCGCAATGAAAGAACAACGATGGTTGTATTTCTTAAACAATGGCTTCGTCACTGCAAAGAACCTCAACGGTAAATTCGACTCAACCATTCACACCGCCTACTCGATGGCCCACTTTCTTTTACCACACCGTATCCGGTCCAGAGCCTCGGAGCAGCTTCTCCGCCTCCTAAATTTGCCTAATTGGAAACAAAGTACTTTACTGTCACTTCAAAACACGTCGACGCCAAAAACAGTACTACAAGAGTATAGCATTGTACTGAGACGTGCATCGACTATTCAAAGAGTAGACAACAATACAACGAGCGCTTTGTGGTCTTCTGACTCAAAGAAGGACTGTAACACGTGATAACATCCTCTCACCAATGTCCGCCATGATTATCAGTAATCCTGATTTTCAAAATAGACCGGCTTGCAAACAACAGAATAAGCCAGAATGCAGAACCAAAAAGGCGACGATGGCATTAACAAAGTGAAGAAGCTAAAATGGCAATGGACAGGAGCGCACTGCAAGAAGAGACCGTCACTGAACCAGAGAGATATTAGACTGGTTTCCAAGAGAGGGAGTAAATCATCAGTAAGAGACTTCCAAATCGATGAAAGGATGAATGAAGAAGGTTCACTGGAAAAAGATGGATAAAAAATGTTTAAACAAAACATAAGTTTACGGCAAAGTCTTCGTGAGGTTTTCATCCAGCAGTGGATCGAAACAGGCTAATGATGATGTCAATTCAGTCACTCATTCGTTCATTTTTAAAGCACGTTATTCCTTTCACGTGCTAAGGTAGCTATTTTTAGACACCATTCCAACAATGTCGATATTTAGCCAAGCGGACAAGCTTTTCAAGGTCTTCTGCTATCAGCTTAGGGCGCGAAACGGGAGCAACTTAAAGAATAAGGTAAACCTCTAGGTATTACGTGGATTTCAGTTGTTGAAGTTAGGACACCAGTCGCTAGCGAAAACCATATGTGTACTGAGAGCAACGTTGGTTATGCCTTAACGAAGCCTGGAATGTCAAAAACCAGCGTGTCATGAAGAATTAATCGTACAAACGCTACTGTTACTCAAAATCTTGCAAAATTCATTTCATAATATTGTGTACTATATCCCTAAGGTAAACTGCCGGTGCGGCATCGGTAAGTAAAACCATTTACATCGGCCTCTTCAAATGTTCTTTAAACTATGCATCAAGAAACGAAAATCGTGAGAGCCACTCAACAAGGCAACGAACAGATTCCTCGATGCCGATTCCATAGCCATTTCTACATGAATTCAGCTAATCAGTCATCACAATTTCAAAATCCAGCAAATCACATCGTTTGGCAAAAAGAAAAACAAGATCATAAACCCGATCAACTGACCGATTTAATCATACATAAAACAACACAACGACAGTAATACGGCAACTGTTGAGAAATATGACTATTTAAACAACAGTTTAATAAATGTGCCCTGGTCTGTGTCTCCGAAAATCATGTCCGTTCGATGTTAATGCGTAATTAAAAAGCGTTTTCAGTTCGACGATATCACGGATGAAAAATCTCGAAAAGCAACTCTAATGATAAACAATGATCTGGTTGTCAGAAGCCGAGGATTGATCAGTCTTTCAGCTTTCGACTTCATACTACAACCACTCATTTAGAAGACCTCATACATTTAGTAGATCTCATCTTCACAAACTACAGTAGCAATTTTTAAAGCCAGTAAACAGTTTCAGCAGTAACTGAAAAAGCACTAACGTTAAGAAATATGCACATACTCTACACGCTTTCGAAAGATACTTTCGATAGGTGCATAAATCAATCCAGGCTTACCGTAACTAAAAAGATTTTCACGTTTGCTAACCGCAACGTTTCGAAATATGATTAAGCAGGAGTCCCCATAATACAGGAAACTACAGGACCCAGTTTTCGGTTTGGAAACTGAAAAATTTTGTTGCTTCAGTGAATTCACTTGAAAACGTTATCACTTTTCAATGATGCACCAAAAAAATAACGCCAATAATAATGGCATATAACTTCTCAAAGGCCAGATTTTACGATATTTTATGAAGACCCTTCTCTCCTTCATAAACGGAAAGGGGGCATTTAAGCATGCCGTCACTCTGTCGCATTTCAGCAGTTGCGCTACTAGATGCACATTTGTTAGACACGATGTGCATCGCATCATTTGCTTTCCGGAATAGTCGAATGACTGCCACGAACTTTGACAGATTATAATATAGACAAGCAACCCAAAACAGAATAACAGTAAGGACAGAAAAAGGAGACAATTATCACAATGAATTGTGACAAAATACGTGAAAGAACAAATCCCATATTAGGCTAAATAATCTTGACTAACTGCAGTAGTGCTACAATTTAGGAATAATTATATCAAGGTATCAGCCGATAGAGCGTCAGATTGACAGCGGAAAAATTGTGCTTCAGAATTCCGGTCTTTTTCCTCCTTTTTGATGTAGAAAAATTCATACAACGGTGTGGGAATGAAAACAGCAGGCAACACACTGTTGTTTCTACATCACTGTGGCATTGATTTTAAACTATGGTACAACTGACTGGTGGCATGTAAAAAGAAATCGGCGTCGGACAATAGGATTCATGAAAAGAAGATATTTCATAAATAACGCCTATAGAAGAAAAAAAAGAAGAATCGATACCACAATTATTGCAAACCTTAATTCCCTTTTTAACAGTCCTTGTAGCACATTGAATCGAAGACATGTAGGCAAGTACCTGCCTGACGATTAATTATATTTATGACACTTTTTTAACCGTATCAAGAGCAGACATAATCGACAGAACTAGACTTGTTCAGCTCGAAAAACAAGAAACGGTGGTTGAGAAAACTGGGATCCACTTTGCTGCATCGTTACAAACATATTGTGTATCAGATGGCCTTGATGTTACCCACAGACTACTTTAGCTTTCATCAAATAAAGTAAAGGCAGCAATGATTTTGATACAGTTTATTCAAACGTTTAAGTATTTAATCGATTTTCCAGGAGGCTAGTCTACATGACTGATTGTGACTTATCGAAATGTCACTTTGATTCATTAGACACTGTAACGCTGAAATGATTTCATGTACAGTTTGAAGCGATTCAATGCTCTAATTCTATTCGGTAATTTCAACTTTTGATGTTGATAAGAAAACCGAAACTATCAGCTGGAATAGTAATCACCCGAGTATATTGAATCCTTTCCCAATTCGTTACAACACCAGCGGTTTCGTCTGTCGTGGGAGAAAGGAAACTCAGTCGGACCAGTCGAACTGTGATCTTCATCCTGCTCGGTACACGTCTCCTGTTACAGTCGGTGAAAATTTTGAAAGGGAAAGGAAATAGCATGCACCATAGTGGATGCCAACGCGAACTTTTAAAGGGATGCTCCTCCTGATATGCACGTCAGCACCAGTCTCAAAAGTTCAATGAGGGCTTCATGTCTCAGTGTAGCTGGCTATTCGTATAATTATTTTGCAGTATCTCGACAGATCTGATGAAAGTACTTCGTCATAAGCTTTGCATAGTTATCCGTATTTGCAAATATCAAGTTCCGTCCTTCGTACCGAGTTCATGGCCTTTTTGGAGGCAGGGGCTTAAACGCTGTCAAACAACACTTTAGCCCATATTTCATTGAACAGCGGCGCCTTCTGAACGTACGTAAACTTTTTACGTATTTGGCTCGAGCTACAACTTCAACTTGACGTGCGCATGCGGTTTACTGTGATCAGTTCAACGACGTGCCAGTATATCCATACGCTGGTATGTTTAAATGCTAGAACCATGACCTGCTGAAATGATTTACAGGCAAAAGCAATGGAACGTTGCTATTTTCCATTAATATTGCAATTAATCGGGGCACCAATGGTACAAGCAAGCGGTAGTTGGTTGCAAATCATAATTTCAGAGATTACTTGCTTTCTCTTAATTTGTTTTGAACAGATGCTAGCGTGATCTGGTGAGGGCCAAACAGCTACACGTTCGCACAATGCAACCAACTTTCTCAACGACACATTTGCTTCGTATTATAAAACATATTACTTGTGGAGTTGTAGCTTCATCCCTTGACTCTTCGTGGGCTATGAGCTGAAAACTTCGGAACAGCCTTGTCGCGGATAACCGCAAATGGTCACTGGTCTTCTAGAAAGCAAGCAATAAATACGCTTTGCTAATCAGTCCAATATTTTTCACTGTCTACTAAAGCATACTTCTTCCATTTTCCTTGCAGATCAAGCAGGCTCCATGCTATTAGACACTACCGGTTTTTCCAACGACAATCATCAGTCATTTCAAGGAGGTTTCTTCATCTTCCACAACCGCTTCTCCTGTCGGGTCGCGGAGGCAACCGCGTCAGCCAGTGCTTCCAACGTTCCTGAGTCTGAGCTTCGGTAGAAGACAATCGAAGTCTGGAGCAGACTCTTTCCATATATTTGCACCAGGTTAATCTTGGGCGACCCCTGGGCATTCTGCCGGTTCCAGGAGGTTACAAGCAACAAACACACACCAGTATTTCATCTCAGACAAATTTTATTTCGTCTAGTTCCTTCAGTGTTGCCGAGACGAAGTTGGCAAAACCCATAGACAGGAATAGCTAAAAAACGTACGAATCAACAGTACAACTATGGAAGGAAAGTATTTGAACCATTCAACTAAATTTGAGAGATGAGGAATACTGAAGGTCATTGCTAATTAGCGGTTTGCTCTATAAACAGCGTGCAAGATCAAAAAAGAACAACATTTGCATATCTTTACTGATGCAACAAATACAAAACAAAACAATACAGCACCTTAACAAACAATAACAATAATAAATTATTTTTATGAGTACGTACAATTCTTGACATCAAATCGATCAGAGAATACAACGGAATGAACTTTTCACTCCTTTCTGCGCAGCCTAAAAACCTGAGCTAATGCAAATTGGAAAAGTTATCCAACAGACTACTGCAATGACATTTACAATAAACGGCATCGAAAAGCGCTACAGCGCGATGCTGCTAACGGACAACTCGAAGAGGTTAAAGCGTTTGTACTGAAGGTAGTTCTTAACGACAGCAATGCAACAGATGGTTTTCAGGACATTGACGAGGATCGTAAGGTCGGGATCGCTCAGCAGTACCTTTGCCATCGGGCACATGGATTCCATTGCAGCACCGACACGATTAATGATATCCTCCCTGCGCAATCCGTGGTTGTTGCGCGCTTTGTACTCGATCGCATAAGTTTCACAACCGGTGATCTGACCGGACTGCAACTTGGTGCCCAACAACTGCGTTACGGCTTCTTTGATCGTATCATAGTCGGCCCTGCAGCTCGCCTCGACGGGTATCATGCGTTTGACAAAACGTGACTTTATGCCTCGGTTTTTGGCAGTGTCTTCAAGGATCTCT